ACGACGACGACGACGACGACGAACAACGACAACGACAACGACAACGACAACAACAACAACAACAACAACAACAACAACAACAACAACAACAACAACAACAACAACAACAACAACAACCACAACAACAACGAGAACGAGAACGAGAACGACAACGACAACAACAACAACAACAACAACAACAACAACAACAACAACAACAACAACAACAACAACAACAACAACAACAACAACAACAACAACAACAACAACAACAACAACAACAACAACAACACCCCCCACCCCCCCTCCTCAAACACCCGAAGCCCCCTGCCCCCAAAACCAACAAATCCCCCCCCCTCAACCCCCGACTCCCCCGACTCCCTGAGGGGCACCAGAGCTCTCTTGGAGAAGGCATCGGCGGCGAGCTGCACGTGGTGAGCCCCGCGCCGGGCGCAGAAGACCTGGCGCTTGCAGACCCCACTTTTGGGCGCCCTCTTTGGGGTAGCTCCAAATGGAGACCAGCTATAGGGGATCTAAAGAGAACGATGGGTGAAGAGAATGGGGAATCAACTCTTAGACTTTTATGGGCTCCCCGAAAATGACACGTTTAACCATACAGTTCTGAAAATGATGGACCCCCTTTTGGTTGGTGGCTACAGGGAAATTCAAAGGAAGCCAGCCCTTCCAGGGGAGTATTTTACCCTTTTGGGCCAATTATTGCCATGGCTCCCTTACTTACAAGCCTTGGTTGCCTCGGATAGGGTCCATGACTGTGCCTACAAACCTAGTAAACAAGTCCAAAATCGGGGAAGCACTGAAAATTGCAGTCTGTCAGCAGCCGGCCCTGCCCTCCTGCCGGCTTGCATGTCTGCATGTCTGCCTTGCTGGCTGTCTCTACGCTGACATTCGCGCGGCTTGCTGCCTGCCTTTCGCACTGAAATCGACATGTCGCTTGAGGCGCTTAGCGCTATGCCCAGGTAAATATGTACAGGAAAGGTTCTCACTGGGAGACGTGCAGTCGCTGAAGGTGTCAATAGCAGCATCGCACTGCAACTACTCAGGCCATCCAAACAAGCGCGTTGAACCCATGTATTTTGCTCGGCGGCGCGCCCTAGCGCTTGGCACTGGTCATGCTCAAGAGCAAATTGCATGCACGGCCATGCTCAGTGTCTCCTTCGCCACAATCTGCCGACCTGGCCGATCATTTTACAGTGCCCACTTCAGGCCTACAACCCCCCTAACGGTTTACCTAGGCCTACAAAGGTGAGAGGGAAGGCTTGCGCCGGAGTTCTGTATGCAAGAGTTGCAAAAGTCCAGAAGATTTCCAACCCAGAGGGTCCAAGTACCTTCTAAGGAGGCACTTAGACCCCTTTTTGCCCCCTAAAAGCCATCCTCATGAGGTACTAAGGGACCCGCTGGGCAGGCAAAGGAACCTCGCCTCCTTGCAAACTGCTTCTTCTCCTCGCTGGGTCCTTTCCCGCCCGTGGGGTCCTGCCGCAAGGTTCGCACTTCACTCCCCACTCAGCTGGTACTCCAGCGAGCATGGTCAAAAAAGGGTCTTTGTGGGAAACTTGTGGGTGGCGTCTTGGTGTCCTCCAAACGAACAACTCATACCACTGAGCGACTTGGGCGGTGGCAAGCCATGTCCTCTGAGCACGGAGTGAGCATGGCATCAGCAACCTGCAACTCGGCGGTGAGCCTCAGAATTCGGCTCGAGAATTCCACCCAAGGTACCTCCCACCCTCTACGACTCCCCCAGACTCCTTAGATTATGGTCATTGGAAAACAAAAAAACAAAAAAACACCGAGAGACCCGAGAGGAAGCCGGCCACCTTGGTTTCTACCCCGATGCCCCGATGTCTGTGATCATAGCTATGTTCGGTTGGCGAGGCTGCAAACCCCCTTAAGGTGGAGATTGAGCGGTGGTCAACCAGCTCTGCAAAAACTACTTGCAGGGCGAGTGCTTGGATTTTTTATCCCTGGGAATGCCCCTTTAGTGCCCACGTCCAGCTTAAAAAAAGAAAAGAACAAAACAGCACCTTACGTGAAGATCTTGAGCCCACAAGGGTAACATGTACCCTAGGGTTCAACCCCCATTGAAACAATGGTTGAGCCAGTTTGGATGATTATATTTGGGGAAACAATGGCGAAATATCAAGTATGAACCCAACCATTGTCCTAACGGTGGTGAACTGCACCCCAGGGTGCAGTGCACATGGCCCACACCATGGCCCGCCCTTGCAGCTGTGGAGCAAACCATCTCGAGTGCGAGCCACCCACTCCTCAAGGCCCGAGAACGGCGCCGAACGGAATAGGGTCCCATTTGGCTGTGCCTAAAGAAACGGGTATCCAAATGGAACCCAAGTGGAAACATGGACCAAGATCTGCGGTCCCCTGTTGGTTTATTGACCCACACCCATTTTGCGACCCGAACCGCTTTCTGGAATTTCCACCCCAAACTTTTGGCCGACGTCTCGGCCACCCGAAGCCTCGGTGCGTGCTGAGTCTTGGAGAACGGGTGCGAAAGAAACACAGAAGCGGCTCTTGTTCTGAGCAGTTGCCTTTGCCGGTTTGCCGACCAGCCTATAGGTTCAACGGGTCGGGCAAAGGCGTGGGTCCCAAGGTGAAACTAGAAATGGTGAGTCAGCCATTTCCCTTGAGCAGCCTTTGGGGACTAAGGGGATGATCAACTGTTGGCACATGCGGCAGACTGCTTCCCAAGCTGCGCTTTACCCTGTGGCTCAAGGTGAAAACCGGTGAAAACCGCTGCACTTCGCAACAAGAGAGCCGGAAAGGTTCCGCCAAGGAGCGTGGCCGATATAGGTATGCTCCCAGTAGGTCTCCCCAGGGCTAAGCTCAAAGATCTTCCTCTCCTGGATCTCTTCCAGAGCCCGCTACTAGTGATCCTTTCTGAATCTCAAATATCAAGATTGTGGGTTGTTCACAATGGGGGGGAACTCTGATCCGCAATCTGTAGTGGGACACTCGACACCACTAAAAGGAAAACGACCACCACCACAACCACCACCACCACTAGCAGCAGCAGCAGCAGCAGCAGCAGCAGTAGCAGCGGCAGCGGCAGCGGCAGCACCACCACCACCACCACCACCACAAGCACCAGCACCGGCACCATCTGCACCTGGCATAAGGCTGTCTTCAAATAAGCACGCGCGCGTGGATCACGCTGAGCCAGCGCCCAATGGTGTTCTCCGGTTCCTGGAAACTCACTGGGTATATGTGTGAAAAGCAGGGAATCCCCAAAAGAGGTGGTTTCCTTGTGATTCCTCTTGGTCCCCTCTAAAACACCCAAAAAATGATACCCCCAAAAGAAGGCAAACCCATGTCTCATTTGCACCCCAAAAGAACCTTCATGGGTGAAATGGGTCTAAGACCCAGGCCCCCACAGGCCACCAAAGGCTTCAAGTGCCCAGTGGCAAAGTGAACCAAACAATCCAAGGAATCCGTGTCTCCGAGCACATGGGCGACCTTCAGGGAGTTTGTGGCTGGCCAATAAACAAAAGCACAGCAACAAAGTGAACCCTCCAAAACGGGAAAGCAAGCGCCACTGATATTCAATCTGGGTTGTGTTGCACCCGAAGGGAAGGATGCCCTCTCAAAGGGGGCAACCCCATTTGAAATGTACCAGGGGTTCTGAATCCAGTGTTCGCGGGTGGTGTGCATGTGGTGTGCAAGGGAAACCGAAAAGAAGGAAGCAACCCGAGTGTTGCCCCGGCCGTTAAGAAACACCCAGATGGCCAGTTGGGCGCGCAGCTCTTTTGACCGTTTGCATCTCTCTGGCCGGTGCAATGGCTTGAATTAGGGGTAATTAATTCGCGCATGACATCGAGACACGGGTATGTGCTGGTCTTGGCAATCTAGGCTACACAGAAACTGAATTCCTCAGTGGATTGGCCAAAACAAGTATAAACTTGCTGCTTACCATTTCAAGTCAGGAACTCAGGGCGTGAGGTGTTTGTTGACTGGCTGATTGGCCATTGCTCTGGCAAGGGCAACTCTGGTGAAGCCCCGAGTCAAATTGGGAATACAACCATGTTCGGACAACAGGGCGACCCTCCAAGTAGCAACGGTTCTCTCCACCACAACAATTACACATGAAGAACGACTGGTATCTTCCATTTGGTTAAATAAATATATATCTATATATATATATATTACCAGTAGTGATAGATTCCCTTTAAAACCAACAGGGGAAAATAAACAATATTCTTAAGCAAATAGTGGGGAATCAACCCCCAGAAAATTTTGGAACCCTAGGCAAGCGGGGCTCCCCCCCAACTTCAGGCACATACCCAAACTCGCTGGGGCTAAAGCCACTTGAACCGCCGATTTCAGAGCCCTGAGACATGCACATGGTCTCCTTATATGAATTCCAACTAGAAACCCTGTGGTGAACACTCAGCTAGGGATGTATGACCAACGAATTTTGAGGAGGGGTTAATATGGCATAATATCCACTTGCAACCAGTGAAACAAGCAACAATCATCAGGGTTTGCTGGCCAGAAGTGGGAAAGCCAAAAGGTCGAAAGGTCCACTTGCTTTAAAACTGTAGGCAACTGAATACATCTCAGCCAGCTGCAAAATTAAGTAGGAATGGATGTCTCGAAGCCATGCGTAATCCTGCTTTGAGACAAACCCAAGTACGTCAAGTAGCAACGTCCGTGGATGTTCCTGTAGCTAGAAGGGCCTTAACTTGGTAACGTTGGATCCCCTGCAAAACATTGTCGCTGCCGGCAAACAATTGAACATGAAAAGCGCACACAGAATCGTGCCTGTCAAATCATCATTAACGTAGACTTTGCCCCCCAAATGTGGCCTTTTAACGGACAACCCTGCAAAGGCAAACTAGATCAGCATTGGACCTTCAAAAGCTGCTTGTTGAACCATCCAAAGGGGACGGAGGGTCTTTGTTGATGGTACCTCTCGGGGTGGGTTTAAAGGACAATCAAAGGGAAACCAAGGTCCAAATCTCTATTTTGACATATCAACAAGTTGGGTGAGGATTCAAGCAACATGATTGGAAGATGCTACATGCATCGTCCTTTGGTGCAAGCGATCGGAACCCGTTGATCGGAATCCGCATGGCTCCCTGAACACGGAGTCCCAGAAAAAGGCGTTCAAGAAACCCTCTCCAAGTTTTGCAGCTCCGTCTCCAGCAGCGCATTCGCACTGGCGCTCTCCTGGAAGCACGGCAATCAACGGTGAAACTCCACAAAAGTCGTCCACCCCAAAGAAGACATTCCTCACCCGCCCCCCCCCCAAAAAAAAAAACAAGAGGAAAAAACAAACAAAAAACTGCACGAAGCAAATGTTCGGCTTTCGCTTTCTCGCTCCGTAAAAATCGATCGGGCTTTTGGGAGCGAGCCATTGTCCGGCTTTGCGTTCGGTTGTATCGTTCCGGAAAAATAGTATGAGCCCCCACCCCCCCCCCGACCGACAAACATACCTTCGCTTTGGGGGAGAAAACAAAAACCATCGATCGCGCTTTTGGGCGCCATCGTCCTGAAGGAGCTGTACCAGGTCCGCGTTCTGCATCTCAACCTCAGACAGCGGCTCCAAGTCTTGCAGCTCCGTCTCCAGCAGCGCGTTGGCGCTGGCGCGCTCCTGACGGCCGGGCCAACGGCGGCCGGGACCCTCCAGCAAAAGTCGGGGCCTTTCCAAAGCGAAGTGGCTTCAACTTGCCACCAAGGCAGGTGGTTTCAACTTTTTACCCCCAAAGGTAAGTATTTTCAACACCCCATGCCTTCCCCCCATTCCCTGAACCCCACCCCCAAAGGGTGGATAATTTTTAACACCCCATGACCCCATGCCTTCCCTCAAACCCCAAACACGGCAGCCCCGAAGTTTCAGCAAGCGCCGCTTCCCTCGCAAAAAACCCATCCTGCAGGAGCAGCACCAGGTCCGCGTTTTGGGTCTCAAGGCCCTGGCACAGCAGCAACATCTCCTCGCCGGAGGTGGATTTTACGGGGAAAGCCTCGTCAAAGAGGGACAAATGGTGGCTGGATGTCTGGAAGGCAATAGGGGCCTTTAAGGAATGAACAGGCCTGTGGGGCACACCAAACCACCTCAAGATGTCATTTTCATGGCCGTAGTCGCGATTAGTATACCAGTGCAGACACTTCGGGAAGTGGCCCCTATGACTTCTCGGGTATCTGTTGCGGGCAAACAAGAACACATAAAACACGGTCTTGTGTGCGCGTGTGTTCTTTTTGGAGACCTTCATGTATTTTCTACATTCGGTTCAAAGGAACAACAAGGAAGAACCCATTCCGGGGAAAACATGGGGAAAAAACAAAAAGCACACATTGGCTGCCAAGCGCCTTCCTTGGTTCGATTGAGAAACTCTCCCGGTCCTCCGCCTCCGGGCGCTTGGGCGTCCGCAGCTGCCGCCAGGCGCGGAAGGCCAGCTCCGCCAGGGCGCGGTGCTGCAGGCAGCGCGCCAGCAGCCTCTGACATGGAGCCGGTTCAGAGCGAGTCGTCCGGGGCGGTTTGGGGTGGTACTGCGGTTGGACATAAATCCCGGTGTCCACCACAGGGTTTTTTGTAAAAATTCCCAGCCATGCGGGTGGGGGAGGGGGGCAGGAGGGGGAGGGTGTGGGGGGGATTGGGGGGGAGGGTGTGGGGGGGATTGGGGGGGAGGTTGTTGGGGTGTTGGGGAGGGGGTCTGTACCGCCCACACCCTCAGAAAGGGCCGAGCAAAGGAAAGGGCCTGCCTGCGTCACCCGACTGTTCGCTTGAGGGGGGGGGGGGCATGGGGGGATTGGGGGGAGGGTGGGTGTCCTGTTGAGTTTCCCTTCGACTTCGTCCAAGAGGATCACCGTCAGTTTCTGGGGACCACCAAAAAGATGTGGGCAGAGTTACCCAAGGTCGTTTGGGGGCAACAACAAAAGGATAGCTGGGGTGAACCACCAAAGTCACTTCGACTTTCCCACGTACCAATGGGCATATTGATCACCCTCCGTATGGGTGACGCCCAATGAACCAGCCAAATGAAGCCCTTTTGTAAACCTGTCAGGGAACCATCATTTTCGTAGTTTGAGCATTCCTCAAACTCGGGATATTTTTCGTATCAAGGTCCAACATAGAGCCATATCATTGAGAATCCCCCCATATCCTGATTCGGAGCGGATTTGAAAGGGGAGCCGTTGCAACCCTCCCAAGGCTTCCTTGCTATGGATACGAATTAGTATTGGAGTGAGAGACTTAATGAAACAAAGAACAACAAACAAAACACATGAGCAAAAACAACCAGATGGGGAGAATGTTGAGTTCTCTCAAGACATTAATAACTTCACAAAACCTTAAAACAACCCATGGGGCGTAATGAACATGTATTAATCAAGCACTAAAACAACAACCACACTGCTTGCAAAACCTTCATCATTTCTTTAAAGGGTCATTGAACCTGAAAACGTCAATAATCTTGCCAAGAACGACCCCCAGGACAAATCAAACAACAAAAACTACTAACTTCCGAGATATTCTCCTGGAATTCAATCGTAAATTTCAGATCATCAGCCCAGCTCACTTCAGACTGGCCTGGAAGGTGATGTTTTCAAGAAGCAGCGGAGAAAAAAAACGGGGGGGTCTGTTGTCCGAGGCGACACGGGGACTCCGCCATGTCAAGTTCCCCTTATCATTTGTCTTTGTCCGGAAGACAAAGGGGTTTGTCTCAACATCCCCTCTCCAAAATGGGCGGGTTCGCCTCAGAACCGAGCCACGCCCAAATGAGTGTCATTTGTTGAGGGCCACACGTACCTTTGTGGTTTCAAAGGGAAGCCAAAAGGAAAACCGAAGCCGTTCCGGAAAACGTCCGATACCAAAAGAGCAACGAGCCACACCAAAAAATGGCCAAGCCGCGTATAAGCGTAGATGCGCTTCGCCGGGTTCACAGAACGCCAGGCGTGGAAGGCCCTAAGCCTCGCCAGCGCAGTCTGCAAAGAGCCCACTCTGCGCAGGCACACGGAGAGGAAGCGCTCCTCGGCCATCGGCAACCGACGGCTAGCCTATGGGGTGGCACAACGCGGACTGTTGGGTGGTGAAAGAGGTACTAAAAGGAAACAAGCATCTTAGGGGACCAACGCCCCCGTTTATCCCGTTTCTTGGCACATGTGGTGGCTCAGTGCTCCTTTTGGGCTTGGTTGGAAGGAAGGGAAACTACATGGGACACCCACCCATTTTGGGGTTCCCGCTTTTGAAACGCACACCCCTAGGTGTGGCGCGAAATTGAAGAAGGGGACCACAGATGGTGTCGGAAACAAAACAAAAAAGCGCTGAATCTCTCCGCTCACAAGTCAGAGGAGCGGAGGTCAAAACCGAAAGGTCACTGGTTGCCTTGCCACGTTTCAAAAGGGACACCTGAAGGAAACCGGGCCCCATGCCAAGTTGACGAGCAAATTCCCATAGACACGAAGCAAGGAAACGGGGGATGGTCACAGCCCAAACCTGCGATGGGCGGCTTCTAGCCTCGTGTCTGGTTGTCTTCCATGGGAGTTAAACGACCTCACATACCACTGAGGTCAAGGACACCGTTCCGCGCCTGCGAAACGAATCAAAGTGTCGTTTTGGAGAGGACTGTGGCTGTGACTTTTGTTGCTTTCTTGAAATAAATATGTTTTGAGTAATATTGAAGCTTAAAACTAAAGGAACCGCTGCTAAAGTTTAGTTTTACAGTAGAACCGAGGAAGATTATGGCAATAATATCAGGTCTGCGATGCCCTCAGATGTTCGGGCAGCACACGCGCTACCATAATCACTACCAAGAGGCGTCTGGTGATTTCTAGCACACCAAATTGGCAGTTGCGTCATAATGGTCATTACAGGCATGCCTAGTTTCGAAATGGGAACCTGTGCGACACAGTTGAGGCTCTGAAGTTTCAGTATGGAACACTCTGAACAAATGCTTGTAAACTCAAACATCATGGGCGGCGTTTCTTGTTGAAGCAGAACCTCTTGGTTGGGTTGAGACCCCCGGATTAATAAACCCCTGTCTATTAAACAGGGGTGTTCCGATACCTCCATGAGTGATACATCCCCACTAAAGCCGGGGGCACCCCCATATCAATACAGAGGATTTTCTTAATCGGGGTCAACATTATGCGCCTAAGCCCCCTTTTCAGGTGGAGGTCCCTAACCCAATGAAGGTCCAGTGATCCTTAGGGCACATGTAAATTGTAAATTCTACATGGCGTCCAGCACAGGGCAACAACTCAGAAATCATACTCATGTAGCATTCATGAGCGGAGATCCGCCATTTTACAATGAGGATGAAGGATGGCCTCGCGAGTCGGAAGCAGGCGATGAGCCGGATTTTGAAAACGAGCCAAAGGTTCAAAATACCAATCACACCTAGAAAACTGGGAAGTATTCCTGTGTCGCTTGGACTTCGCAACATATCAATGGATGGCTTGCTTTGTGGGAAGCGAAGGGTTCGCCCTTGTCCCAATTCCAGGTTCCGTTTTTGGGAGCAGAGTTGTGGCCTATAGCCCTTTCTGTGACACCAAAGCTGGCCATCCCTGTGACTACTTTGTCATTGTAAATTGCAAGGGGGGGTTAGTATCGCGGAAAGTGGCCCTAAGCACAGTTTGCGACAGCCACGCTCGCTTCTTGGTCACCTCTGTTTCTTCTCTGGATGGCATACACGAACTGCTAAGCTAGCTTCTTTGTCAGGACCCACCAACAAACCATTACTTCCGCGAATTCTACAATGCTTCCTAAACCTGAAATGAGAACCAGCACTGATGGCGTCCCTGACAACGCTGATTGCCAGAAATCCCCTGCAGCACCAGCTGCATCCCCTGCATTACCAGTCTGCATCCCCTGCATCAACAGCCTGCTACTGGCAACCCCAGCATCACTAACGTCATTGCTTGAAGTAGACCTCCCAAAGCAAAAACTGGATGTTCAAGGCCCCTACGTAAAAACCGTCGACCCAACCTCCATTCGTGAGATTGTGGACTTCCCAACTCGGGCTTGCCAATCGGCAGCTCGAACCCGAGGCGCGGTGTCGTCCTTCACCGCAGACTGCCAGAGTCGCAAGGCGCTACGGGCCAAGCGCTCGGCCTCCTGACCATCCAGAAAAAAAAAACATGTTCCTGACATCGATCCAGGGATTGGTTCAACAGACCCTTTGTCAAGCTTTTCAATTTTCCTCGGGTTCACCGACAGGAACCGGCATTGATTGCCCCAAGCAATGTCCCTATGATTGGTTTACACTCTCAAGGTATCCCCTTGAAACGTCGTGGCCAGTACGGCACCTTCACCATGCCTGAGCCAGTTTGGCCCCCCAGAGCTCGACACAAATTGTTTTTTGTTTGGCCCGCAATTCCTTTCGTTTCATGGTATTCCTCTGGCTCTGCCCCGGCCAATCTGAATTGGCAGCTAAATGCCACCTCCTTGGGGGATGTGTGGACCCAACAAAATGGTGGCTTGCCTTTTGGTTTTCCTTTCCGCCAACCTGAACTCCAAATATCCAAAAAGCGCAACCCCATTGTGCCTTGTTCCTGGTCTCTCCTTTAAACCACCCGTAGACTGCCCTGAAACAAAACAATACACACCAAATGGCCCTGGATTTCAGTTGGGTTGAAAGGACAGCAATCACTCCGTCCTCAGATCCGCGAACAGTTTTAAGACGTGGGTACAAATTCGGAAACCCCACTACTAAGCCACCTAAAAGCCAAAGCCGGATGGCTTGGGAACCACCAAGACAGGTGTCCTTTAATGTTGACCCCATATTTATCAAAAAGCGACGATTCCCAAACCCGACACCCCTCCTAGGGGTCACCCCTCCTATTCATACCCTGGGGTTGCCTGGTGTCTCCCTAGGCACCATTCAAAGAATGGCAAGGACCCAATCGGTTCTAGGAACCCATTGCTTTGAACCCCAGGGCCTCCTCAGTTGTTCAGTGAACCCTGAAAAAAACAGGGGGAACCCATTTTCGGGGCTTGGACCCCTTTTTTTAGCGGAGTTGGTGCCGCTGAACAACTGCGTCTCCTTTCGCCTGTTGGCGGCTTCCGTCGGTTGCGCGTTTCGGCTCGCTCCTGGCTCCGGAGCTGCGCGTAGAGCCGCTCCAGCGCCAGCAGCGCGCGGCTGGTGGCCAGATGCCGCTCGCCTCGACCGCGCTGAGGCGCTGGGGGTCCCTTGAAAAGTTAGCGAATTTGCGGGCAAAACCGCATCGATGAATCTGCTGGTGGATTTCCCCAAAGTTGATGAAGTTGCCGGCGGTTTCCCTTGAAACGATCGCCACTTTGGAGGTTCCTAAAAGGGAAATGGATGCGATGTCTCAAAAGAAGTGGAACACAACCATGGAGGGGGGTCCCGTTCGTTTCCATTTAAGCCAAGATATAAACAAAAAGGTACCCTTGTGAAGGGCACTGCTGTGATGAACACCCTACCTAGTAAGTTGCCAATATATCCCGAGTTAAGCCCAGGTAACCATGGATATCAACCAAATACCTCAGTTGTTCAGTGACCCTGGAAAAAAGGGAACCCTTTTTGGGGCTTGGACCATTCTTAGTGGGGGCAGCCGCAGGGAAAAACAATTGGTGCCACTGAACCACTGAGATATTAGGACTCCAAGATTCGTTTCAGGGGATGCCAAGCCCGGAAGCCAGCCCCTGAGGCGTTGCTCCAAACCTTTGGCATAGAGCTTCGCTTCAGACCCGTGGACCACCAACCTTTTTGGTGCGCAAACCGTAGCATGAAGGCCCCCAAAACCGATATTGGTGCAAGAGCAGAAAAAGGGTCTGTTCGCAAATCCCAAAGACTCCTGTCATGGACCAAAACGGAACCCTGGTAAGTGGAAACATGGACCAAAATCTGCGGTTTGCCCCTCCGATCGTTTAATTTTGAGCGCCACACCCATTTCTCCTTCCCACCTCTCGAAGCGATCGCCAGAGAAGTTTTGGCGAGTTGCCGCTCCAATGCCAGGCCCAGGCCCTGAAGCAGTAGCTTTGCAGCACCAGGTCTTCCAGCTGCAGCCTTGCTTCGGCTTCGTGCGGCTCGCTTCGATGCCCTCACCAAACAGTTTTAGACATGTGGCTGTGGTTGTCAAAACCCATGGGATCCCATTTTGGGGGGTTTTCGGTGAATTCACCGCTGGGGGACGATTTGGATCTTGACCCATGGCCATGTTGCTTCTAGGAAGCCTCAGGTCTTAGGTCGGCTTGGTTCTTGAAAAGCTATGTCGCATGGCTGAGATGTGCTGTTCTGCTTGAGTGCCTTTCTGACCTCAGTGATCAGCAATCAGTAGGCGATTCACATTGCCGGCCAGCAACAAAAGGCACAATCTTTCCCGGCTGGTTGACGCAGGTACAAGAAAAGTAACACGTTGGAGCAACAGTTGCAATAGATCGGCTCACTTGTCATGAAAAACACGCAAGTAGGATGCATCGGAAAGGGATGGAAAGGGTCCTGAGCAAACCGTGCCTGCAAAAAAGCCAAACGGGCTTGAAAACGAAACAAACACGGATACTGCGCCATTGCGCGTTGAATTCCTTTTTTTGCGCAACACTGATGAACCAAGGTCTTGGAGGGTGGCTGAGAAATCACGGCGTTTGTGTTTTTCCAAAACCAGTATCAGTTGATTAAATTTGCCACCAACCACCTCTACATGCTCAAAACAGAGAAGGGCCACTCCTGAACGTCGGGGACCCCATAGGACCCTGGTTTGCTTTCAAGCCCAGGTAGGCAATGGTATGGAGTAACGGTTAGTTGCTTGGAGCCAAGTTGGGCGGGTTCAAATCCTCTCAGGTACCACCGGGACCGCTCAAGCCGCCGCGTGGTGAACCTCAAAACCGTGCGACTGCTTTCAAGCCCAGGTGGAAACCTTGGGGCAAAGACCTGGCGTGTTGGGTCGACCAAAGACCAGCCAGGGACACACGGGGAAACCAATAGACCAAAGAAAGTAAAGACCACCCGCAAAAAAATAAAGAAAGAAAAGAACACACAACAAGGATAACAAGCAAAGCAAAGAAGGACGAGAACACACACACACACAACAGGGAAACATAATGGCCATATAAAGCATCAAGGAAGCGAGTCGGAACCCTCGGCATCCCAAGGGCAACTCGACTAAGTCAACGCGGTAAGGACTGGACCAAAAAATAGCTGGACCAGGTAAACCAACCCCCCAGCCTCCATTTGCTGAAATCCCCAGGAAAAATCACATGATTCCAGCAGTGACAGATTCCCCTGGACCAACAAAAATATTTGTAAGCCAACAGAAGCAAGCGTCACCTATGTCACTCTGGTGCTTGCGGGCCGCTGGTCGCCCAGCATCTTCCAGGCCGAGCGCTGCGCGTGTTGCGCGAAACGGGCGGATTCTCTCCACTGGTGCAGCAGCAGTCGGTAAGCGACCAAGACCTGGAAATGGACGGAATGCCATGAAATTCCAGGTGGGTGACAAGTATGATTGAATATATTTTCCCAAGAACCTTCCTGGAGACAAGCAGGTTTTGCCTACAAGAACCTAAGTTCCTGGAGATTATCCTGTGCAAATAGACTTGTTCTTGGAGGATCACGCATCACAAAGCATTGCAAACGGCCTGAAACACGATGAACAAAAAGCACCAACAGCGGAAAGATCGGGACCCCCGAAATTGCTCAGAGCTCATCCAAGTAAAGACTCAGCCAATCAGTGGGCGAGCCAATTCATTGTTGTATTCCCAACCGACAAACGGCGATCCACTGGTCGCAAAGTAGAAGGAACATGCTCTTCTCTCCCATAAAATGGGCATGGTCCATGGTTTGTTGGGTGTCAAAATTGGATGATGTCCTATCATTACGGGACCCCTTGGATGGTGCAATAAGGGAAAACCAAAGGAAACCAACCACTTGCCGAGCTTCGGGGAACACCGGTTGGTTCCACTTAGTGTTAATTGAAACCATATTTTTCCAAAAGAGTTGTTGGCTCGTTTTGCCCAATGAGCAGCAAACAACAAACACATCATCGTGCGTAGCAAAGTGGAATCGTCATGTTGACTCACCAATTCTTGTTCATCTGTTTTCACCCTCCAATAGGAGTCCCCGAATTCTAGGAAACAGGCACGCACAAACACGTGAAACAGCGGTCAACGCTTCTCCTACCATTGCGTGCCTTACCCTACGGCCTTTGTTCAGCTCGCAATTCCGGGGGCCGAAGGCCAATTTTTTTCAAATGGACCGCATTGAAAGCTCCAGGAGAAGCACCACCCCAAAGGTCATTCGTTGATTGAAGGCTCTGGTTTCATGCAAATGACATGGAGGCCACAACAGTACAGGCACTGGTTGCTGAGCAGCCGAATCTTTTCAAGTCATAGGAGTCATAGGCTGCGCGCCGCGAGTTGCCGGTTCCGCCGGCATTTTCCAGGAACGGTTCTTAGACTGAGAGCTTTCGGGGTAGGGTCCCAACCCCTCTCCTGACCCGTCAGTGCGTGTTTGCAAATTTGCTTGGTGGCAAGTTCTATGACCCGCCTGGCTTACAAATCAGACGTGACTGGATCTCAGAGCTAGTCCTATCCCACCCCTTTGTTTGGTGCTTGATTTGAAAGCTCCCTAAACAGAAAAGCTCAATCCTGAGAGGATAGCCCAAAAAAGAGTCACAGCGTTTACCACGAAAATTGTCGTCCCAAAAAGCTTAAAGTCCAAGAACTCGGGAAGTGAGAGTCAGGGTACCACTAGAGGTCTGGGTAGGTATGAGAATCTCCCCGCTCCTCAAAACCAACCGCCATGCCTGAGTCCGCCAACCGCTGAGGCTGTGCCTGAGGAGGTACCGGTCCTGGCATCATTTTTTTGCTTTGGGAAGCCAAGATCTCAACTCCCAGCGCTCATGTCTTGCGATGTTTGCTTGGTTGCTGCAACGACCCCCCCTGCAAAAAGTTGAAAGCTTTTTGGGGGGTTCGGTTTACTGGAAAACCCCTTGATTTTCCAAAAAGTGAAAGTCTTAAGATCCAACCCAATAGCAGTCAAGTTTGCAGGGACACCTCTTCTGGCTCAATCTCCGGCTCTATTGCTGTACAGCATTTGTAAACGGCTCAAAGACTTGGTTGTGTCTGACGCCGAAATGGGTTGGTGATTGAACAATGCTTAAAAAACCAGCCGCACAGATTTTGCTCTGATAAATGCATTCAGAGGTTTCACTTGGTTTAAGCAAATCTAAAACCTGTTTTACTACTCCAGGGATCTCCCTTTGGATTGGGGTCGATGGCATCTGCGAACATCTGTAGAAGTCACACACCAAGCCATCCCCAGGCAAACAAATCCTTCACAAATGACTTGCTCAGAAAAAAATATGTGTGAGGTCCAGTCCATGAGGACCAGCAGGGATCCGGATGCATACACCGATCGAACATTGCAACTTGTAAATGGTGGTTTCCAACTTTATTTTGGTGGAAAAAACAACATGGTTCAAATGGTTGCAACATGGAGATCTTTTAAGGAGCCCTGACCAGGAAAGGGTGTTTTTTACCATGGTCCCTAGGAGACATGTGTATTTGGCTGTGGCTCAAAAAGTGGTACTATTTTGTGGGCCCCTTGGATGGAAACAAAGACCAACATTTTGAGCCACACCCATTCCTCCTTTTTCGTGGCACGAAAGTGGTTGCCTAATTGGGACCCGTTTCAGGATGTATTGATTGGGAAACCAAAAAAAAACACCCGTTGTACGACTTACCTCCTTTTGGGTCACCCCTTTGTTTTTGAGCGCGCTATCAACACGAAGTCTGCAGTTTTGCAGAGAACTCGGAAAGGACTGATTGCAGTGCAAACGAGTCTGTCTTTTTTTGGGGGGTCCCCACCCCCAGAATAGTTTTCCTCTTGGCTTCCCTTTCAAACACCGTCAAACCGGCGTATACCAACTTCCCCTCAAAAAAAAAATGTCACCGACCCCCGCACCCCCCCAAAAAAAGAAAAGCACCACCAAAACGTCAACGCGCGCACCTCGGGGAACTTCCCACCCCGTCCGCTCGCTCGTTGGGGATCCCTCGAGATCCTCTCGGCGTGGAGTCCTGGCGTGCGTGCTCCGCCCACAAACGGCGCCGCGTCTGCAGCGCCAAACTCTGCCAGGCGCGGAGGCAGCGCTGCAAAGAGCGGCGCTCCAGGCGCAGGGTCTGGCTGCCGCGGTACCTGGACCCAGCGCTCCCGGTCCAGGCGCCCTAACAAATATATCTGCGTTTGGCGGTTTGGCGCTCGAAGTTCAGACCAAATGGCTTTGGTTTCTCATTGGGTTCATGAACCAAACAAGAGTTGGTCAGGCACACCGAGAGATATCTAGGTTTGTCGGTTTCGGTTTCCGTAACTAAAGAAGAGGGTTCCTCAAACACCCGTGTGGATCGATGACCTATCATGACCTATCCCATAAGTTTGGGGCTTGGTTGATACCTCAAAGTCAAACCTGTAGTGGGATGGGCTTTAACTAGATCCAACAAATGGACGTGGGCAGGCCATTTAAGATGGCAGTGTTCCAAAACCCGAGCCCAGCTTCCATTGTTGCAAGGGTAACATCGAACCGTCAAGCACCACCCTTTGCTTGGCACGCTCTTAAAGGCAAGCCACAACACAAGTTTCTCACAATTATTTTCGGACCCCGTTGGTTTTGGTACTTTTAGTTGAAACCCAAATGGGTGTTGGTCAAACATAGGTACCCAACATGGATCCCTTGGAAACAAAGACTCAAACCTGCGGTCCCCCAGTGCTTTCATTTTTGGCCCGTGCCCAAATGGTTTCCCTAAGAGACCCACATGGTAGCGCACAACCAGCCCTCAGATGCCCAGTGGATTTCCATGGGAAGAAAAGGCCATCCTTGTTTGGTTGGTTGACTTTGAAGGGCACCCCTTCCAAAAACAAAGTTGAACAAAGGGCACTGGGCAACTGGGAGCCAGGGTCCCACCGCTGCCTTTGAGAAGCGGACGCGCCTCACTCGGAGCGAGCGAGCGCTAGCGCGGCCAAGACTCCACGCCCAGAAGGCCTTGAAGGTCGGGGGCTTCAGGCGACTCGCGCGGGACGTCCAACCTACGGTGAGCCGCACATCGCAGCTGGTGGGTTGCGGCGAATCATCGGCGATTTTTTCCTTTGGGAGTTGTTTGGGATATCTTTAGGAAAATCCGTAGATGGTTGTTTCGAAGGAAATACGCATGTTTCTAACAAGAACATCTAGTCATCGCCTAATAGATGTCTCTAGGAAATTCCCTGATTACAATGAATTTTCATGGTTGTTTTGCAGGAAGTACGCATGCTTCTCTAAAAAAGTCTAGTCTACAGATCCAAAGAGCGGCCAAGCCACCGAGCCATCTCCGGAACCGGGCGTGCTGGCGCCACACCATGACCGCGCAACGCAGCTCTTGCAAGGAACGGCGCGCCGCAGCCTGGGCCGCGGAGTTGGTGACGCTTCCATAGCTGCCCAAGCTGTGACAACTTGTTGGTCGAAACGGAAAATGGAACCCGCAAAAGAGAACCAGCTGAAGAGTCTGGCAATCCACCCTGCAAGCTGTGACAACTTGTTGCTGCTTGAAATTTCTCCAAAAGAGAAAGATCTGAAGAGTGTGGCAATTCACTTTCGGACTACCCTGCAGGCAAATTGCCATGGACGCTCACGTTCTCAATTCCGCGGATTGAGGGAGTGAGCTTTGGGCATGCTGGGAGAGGGTGAGACTGTTTGCCAAACTTTGGCTGGTTGGTGTCACCCTTTTTGCAAAAAACACAACTCACAATGTTCACGAGGGGAAATTAATCAATGGCTCAATAATAAGATACACTTAAACTGCTTGTATACCTGGCGTACTGGCGTGACCATTTCTTCAACATACACAAGCTTTCCTTGCACCAACCGCTTGCCGTTTGTAGCTGTTTCTCGACAGCATCCATGCCCAGACTCAAAAAACCGAGCGGCTGCACCCAGCAGCAGCTCGCTGCGGTCTCTCGCACACATTCCACGAAGCTCCTGCTCCGCAGCGGTCACAAAGCAGCGCCAGCATTGGAAGGCAAGCTGAATCCTTGGTTGACGTTGGAAGGGGAGCAAACAAAATATGTTTTAGCAGTTGAGTGGTTGGATTTCAACTCCACTAAACCACAATAAGCAAACATGTAAAATGTGTCCCAACAACAACCAAGAATCATCGCCCTGCCCTGCTCTAGCCGCAGCAACTTCAAGCAGTGGTTGCAGCGCAAGCGCTTTAGCACCATTGCGTGCCAGCAGGCCCAACAGCCGCGCAGCAGGACAGCATCTTCTGCTAGGACCCCGCTGTAGGTCAGCTCTGTGATTCTATCCACCACGCGCCGGCCACGTCGATGCCATCGCCATCGCTGCCAGGCTGTCCGTAGAAGGTCGCGGCACCCGCGGCCCAGCCACAGCGTCAGGGCCCGTTCCTTCTGCAAATCTGCCTGCCTCCTGAAAGCATCCTCGGCGTCAGCCTGTTCTGCAACGCTTTGTCTGCTGTGGCGCTGTTGAAGTATGAGAAGCGACCATGCTCGCAGGCACTGCAAGAAGATCGAGCACCTCCACAATGCCTGAAGCGCTGCAACCGCCTGAGCAGAGGTAGATCGTAACCGATCACGGCATTTCATCTCTCCAAGCGCAGCTTCCTGCTCTGAAGCTGTCACAAAGCAGCGCCAGCATTGGAAGGCAAGCTGAATCGTCGCCCTTCCCTGCTCTAGCCGCAGCAACTTCAAGCAGTGGTTGCAGCGCAAGCGCTTTAGCACCATTGCGTGCCAGCAGGCCCAGCAGCCACGCAGCAGGACAGCATCTTCTGCTAGGACCCCGCTGTAGGTCAGCTCTGTGATTCTATCCACCACGCGCCGGCCACGTCGATGCCATCGCCATCGCTGCCAGGCTGTCCGTAGAAGGTCGCGGCACCCGCGGCCCAGCCACAGCGTCAGGGCCCGTTCCTGCAGCTTGCCTTTCCGCGCTGCTGCGCCTGGGCCCAGGCGAGCTGGTTGCCAAAAGACAACAAAATGTTCGACACAGAATGCCCCAGTCGCCCTCTCAAATATGGAACATCCAAGAGGATCCGGAAATGAAACATAGAATTCTTTGCTCCCCACACTGCATGCTCCGTGCTAAAGGGTTTCAAGGTGAGATAAAAGGATTCGGGTTCGCATCGATGCATGTAATGTTGACTGCGCTGGCTCGCACAAACGTTACTTGGCAGCTGATCAATATTCCTGTTTCCGGAAAACGCCATCTTCGCGAGAAAGAAAGTTTCTTTCGCAAATCTTTCGCGACTCCATCGCCACGCACTTTCGTTTGCAGCGTGCGCTCTGGAGCCATTGTGACTGCTGAATTTATGCTTGCAAACACGGTAGCCGCAGTTCACTTGCGTGCAGTACGTAGTGTTAAGTGCAAGCAGTTACCGTCATTCGCCCTTGCCACTTGCGCTTGCCGGCGATGCGCGGAACCTTGCAACAAGCTCCCTGGCCTTTCGCCGGTCTTTCGCGGATCTTTCGCGAAACTTGCTCCAAAATAGCCCAGCCAACGATATTGATTTGCACCATTCCCAACACAGGCAGGGAATCAATGATGCAAGTGTAGGTTCTGCGTATCTCCCTATCTACAAGGGAGCGGGGTCTGCAAATATGTAAGTGCACAGGCATGCCTCCAAGAATCCGACGCGGAATCTTTCGCGCAAAAATAAGTTTCTTTCGCGAACTCCATCGCCGATCTTTCGCGGAGGGATTTAAGCCAAGACGAATGGTCACCGAATACATAACTCCTTGCAAGGACCTTTTGATCAACCTTGCCAAAGATTGCAGAGTGTTGCCAAAAAGCTTGACTGGGAGGCTGCTCGTGTGAATCTGGAGAAAAGGGTCTTGTGCAAAGATCTCGGGAGGCACTGTTGCAAAGATGCACTGCATAAAATATGGTCGCACAATGCAGAAATCAACTAACCAGCCTTCCTCGCTCGATCCCGAGATCCTGGTGGTCTCTTCAGAGAAGTCTTGTTGAAGGTCTTTTCAGTCCGGTTTCCCTTTCAACCAACCCAAAAAAATGGTACCCTCGAACAAAACACTAGATGCCACACCCATTCTTACTTCCTGGGCCGCCCTCAGATCCCCTGCTAAAGGTTTAACTTTTAGCGAGTTAATATTCGGAAATCCCAACACTAACCCAACTAAACAGATCTAAAAAGCTAACTTGAACCGGATGGAGCCACTAATCCCCGGGGTTAAATAGAAACCCCCACCAATCCGCTAAAAAGATCTAAATGCAAAGCTGAACCGGATGGCTGGAAGCAGATCCCCAAAAGTGTAACTGTTAGTGGGTTAAATAAAACCCCCCATTATAAAAAAAAATGAACCGGACGGTTTTTTCGGGAGTTCCACCCAGTCACCCAGCCGGGCGTCTCTCCCCCCCGTTTACCGCGCCTTGGCTTCGGCGCATCTCCGCGGAGGTCCGGCGCCAAAGGCCCAGGGCCTCCGCCAGAACTTGGCGCCGCGACCGGCCGAGGCGCCCATTCTGCAGGCGCAGGCTGTGGATCCGACGGCGCCACCACGCCTCAAAATGCCAGGATGGGATGCGAGGGGTGGAGCGGGGTGGAGGGGGGGGGAGAGGGCAGCGGTGGAGGGGACAGGGGGGGTGGGAGGCCTCCCTCTGAACATGGCTGATGAATGAACTAAATGGGTCAATTTGCTTGTTCCTGCACTTGAGAGGGGTTGAAAAGATGGTTGGTGCCCTTTGACTAGTTGGGTTCACACTGGCTTGCTTAGATGGTCTGCGGGGTTGGACGAAACCGACCCTAGGCGCATTTGAAGGGAACCGAAAGGGGGCTATTAAAACATGATGTGGTTCGAACATGTTTATATAAGTGGTCGGCCCAACCCTTGTTTGGGGTCGCTAAATGGTTAGTAACCCTGCAGTGGTGTAGTCGTAGGCACCACCTCGCGATGTTTAGCTTGTGGTCACCACTTCGCAATCCTTCCCAAACCATCAAAGTAGGGTGTGCTTGTACGTTCCCTCTAAACATGACTGGTTGCTTGTTTTAAGAAATGGTTGGCATATTTCAACATGTTCGATCTTGAATTCCCAGAATAGCATACCCCTTCAACCGACAGTGGCATGACCGTTACTATGAATGGCATTTTTTCAAACCTTAGATAGGGTTCCTTCTGCAAAAAGTAAGGCTCTTGATGTGTTTTTCTTCAAGGGCATCAGGTAAAACCTGCCCCCACAAGGGCAACCCGAAAAATGATTGGATTCCTTGAGCCATCCTTTCACGTGAAACATGAAGGCCATATTGGCAAACATGGGAACAGTATGTCCACAAAGTAGGACCAACAAATGGTTGATGGTTCTTCTTCGTTTTCCTGGCGGGGTCCTTGCACGGCGCAACCTCGTCCGAAGGGTGCTGGAAAGGGTATATGGCTCAAGCTGATACAATGCCAACCCGTTAACCCCCTCCAACCCCTTCCCCCCCCTTCCCCTTCCTTTCGCCAAACAAGACCCGAATGAGGCCAGAAGGCCTTACCAAACAAGAAATCCGAAATTCATCTTCCGACAAGTCTGCCAATAAACAACGATATCTCCACCCCAACAATACTGCGCATGCTAGCTGACAACTGTTTTCTGCAGCTCCCTACTAACCATTGACAGACCCAAAGAAAACACACACATGTGCCAAACAAACCATTTAACTTGTAAACCCCTGAACCTTCCACCCCCCACAAAACCACCAGCAAGACACACTTCCGACCGGTTTCGCCCGGGGCGCCAGCGCCGCTTTGGCCAAGCGCCGCAGCGCCTCCGCGGCGGTGAGCCGCAGCAGGCGCTCGAGGACCCGACTCTTGGCCTCCGCGGCCTCGCGGCTCTGCGCGGCCGCGCGGCGCTGCCGGTCCCCGCACCGCAGAAGCACCTCGGAGAGAGAGAAACGAGCCGCCGGGGGTGTTGTGGGGGGGGGAAGAACGCGGCAAACTCTGGGCTTCATGGGTCTAACATGTGGAGCTTTGTGGGGTGGTTCGGATTGACCCAGTTTTCAGGGGGTTTTACTACAGAGTTCACTGGGATGTCCAGTTTTCAGCGGGTGGGGAAGAACGCTCCAAAGACACGTTCTTGTTTGTATGAGATATATAACTTCGGCGCTTTGGGGTTCATGTTTCGGTGGTGTCTTTGTCTTCTCTGCTTGTTTTCTCTCCGAACATTTTCTCAGCGAAGTTGTGGGGATCTCCAAACCCAGTTTGAAGGTAAGGGTGTTGGGGAAAAAGGGCACTCCATGGCACTCTTGTTTGGATATTTCTAGGGTGCAAACAAACTTGACGAATTCTCACATGTGTTGCCCACAATGGCCAAATAAAATTACTATTTAAACAACAAACAAAACAACTGGGTCGTTTTCTAGGTGAGGATAGTTCCAAGAGTAGATGCCCATTGTGTGGGGTGGCTCACTTCTAGAGTCTGAAGTTGACAGTCTCTAACATCTTCACGAGATTATGCATATCCTGCTGGCTGAGAGTCCCAAGAGCAGATGCTCATTTGGGGTTACTTATTTCCCAAATCTCCAACAAACCCAAAAAAACCTGCAGGATGTTTCTAAGGGTGAAACACATCTGCGTAGTGTCTCAAGTTGTCATCAGACTTTGGTACAACTTGATTTCGTTTGGTACAAATTCGACAAGTTGATTCACGTGACAACCACAATTAACGACAGCCTGATTATTGAACCCAGTCGTGAAAGGTAAGCTGGGATGAATAAACCCTTCCGGATAACCTCCATTTGTTTGAGTCCCTGGAAACAATAAACATATATGTCCAGTAGTGATAGATTACCTTTAAAGCCACCAGGGGAAAATAAAAACAATTACTATTCTTAAGCAGGTGGAAGATAGCTTGCCGTCGTGGCTTTTCTGGCGGGAACATACTTCTGTGGTGCACTCCTCCCTTTGGTGCCGTCCTGCGGAATTCGAAGTTGACAAGACCTCCAGCATCTCTAAGGCAGCTAACAATTATTGGCCCCAATCACATCCAATCAATCACAAACACAAACCATAAATCAATGAACCAACCAACAAAGCAAATCAATGAATACATCAAAAGCACATTAAGTCTAATAAGTGAACAAATATGAACAAATACACAAATTAGCCAATCCAACAAACAAGGAAACACACAAACCAACACACACACACATGCAAACAAACCTACACACAACAAAGCAAAAGAACACACCCACTCACTCACTCACTCACTCACTCACTCACCCACCCACCCACCCACCCACGCACGCACGCACGCACTCACTCACTCACTCACTCACTCACTCACTCACTCACTCACTCACTCACTCACTCACTCACTCACTCACTCACTCACTCACTCACTCACTCACTCACTCACTCACTGCACAAACACACGAGCTAACAGCTCGAAACATAACACAACACGACAAACACATGCACGGACGGACAGGCGGACGGACAAACAAATAAAACAACCGCCAAATAAACAACTCAACCAAACCAAAAAACCAACCGCCACCAACTTCAACCAGGCGTCCAACCCACATTGTTCAACAAGCAAACACAACACTTGTACTTCCAGCCCCAACCTCTTCAAGAAAACCACCTCTTTGGTGAGACTTACCCGCCCTCTCCATGCGTCTTGGCGCCAGAAAGTGCCAATGCCTCAGCACCAGCAGCGCCTGTGAAGCCAAAGTCAATCGAATCACAAAGACTCCAGGTGAGTCATAATCAAAACCCGGTACAAAAATGGTCGACCCAGAACCATGTAAAGAACTAAGAAGGTGGATATCCGCAGCTATTTATGGCTGGGATCGTCCCTTACTAACCTTCACTTATTCGGGTTTTGATTGTGGCCCAGGCTTGTTTCAAGTTGACAGAATATGACATCAGGCTTCCAACATAGCAATTCTGTGTCAGTCCCCAGGTATCTACCAATACTTGGGCCGTTCGGAGGGTGCGTATATATCCCACACAGTGCGTGTAACGTAGCAAAATCACACCAACACCCAACAAGCTACGAGCCTAATGTGAGTCAAAGATCAAAGATTAAATGTACCCTCAATGCACCTTCCAGCCTGTTGAGCCCTGTTTTGGGAACCTGCCAGTTTTCATCCCAATGGAAAGCCTAAGACAAACGCAAACACATCATTTGGCCATGGGTCAAAATCCAAATCGTACCCCCAGTGAACATCCCTATCCAACTACTAAATTCGGTTCTAAAATGGGTCTCAAGTTCGCTACTTCACCCGCGACCAGACCAAGGGATTTGCTCGAGTTGGCGAGCTGGCGGCTTCTTCGTCCAGGGCAAGTGGCCACAAGCCAAGAGCCAGTTCGATTCCGCAATTGTATAGAACCTTCCGCTGAAGAGAGCGCAAAGGCGAGACACACACACACACACACCCAACACAAACACACACAAACAAACAAACAAACAAACAACCAACCAACCAACCAACCAACCAACCAAACACACACACACACACACACACACACACACACACACACATTCGTGTGCATGAACAAATATGTGCTTGTTGACCTGCACACCGCCACCTCCAAACACCGTGAATCAAGTGCTTGCGACACTGCAAAATATGACCGCACATGCATAGAACTGTACGTTATTGTACTTGTTTCCCCTTTGTATCTGTAAAGAGAGCACTCAAATTTCATGAGCATGAGTAGCATGGACGACCAACTGCAACGTTGGCTCAAGACGCATCGGAAAAGGGTGCGCGCTAGTTTTTACCCCAACATAACCGTAGGTTATGAGCCCAAGCCAGCCATGATGCGCAGGCGAAGACAACAACAAGATCTTGTTCGTGAAGGAGAAACCGACGACCAGGCGCTGGACAGGATGATCCGCGAGCATGGGTCTTCCCGGAGGGCAAGGTCGGAGAACCTGGGGGAGAGGCGCGATTTTCGGAGGATGACAGCTGGTGGGGAACCGGCGGGTCGGGAACCCGAGGTGTGGACGCTGCCTCCGGGACTACATCACGGAGATGAACATGGTGCGGGAGGGGCGGGAGACCGTGGCCCACCTTTGCCACCTGGAGAAACGGGAATGGAGAGGCCGGGCCAACATCCTGGAGAAGGACAAGCCCGGGGCAGTCGTGATGGGCAAGGTCCGGGACAGCAAGAAGGGCAGGTTCGCGGCCAGGCAACTCATCACAGGTTGGATGAGAATGATGGTGACGGGACGGGAATCCTTGATCCTCGGCGGTATCAAGAGCCTCGCGGAGATCCTGGGTTTCCTGGAGGGCACGATCAAGCCTTTCGTGGAGGCCACGGACGTGGGTTTCCTGGAGGACATGATCAGGCGGGTCGTGGAGGCCATGGACATGGGCTTCCTGGAGGGCATGATCAGGCAGGTCGTGGAGGCCATGGACATGGGTTTCCTGGAGGGCATGATCAGGCGGACCATGGAGGCCATGGACGTGGGTTTCCTGGAGGGCATGATCAGGCGGACCATGGAGGCCATGGACGTGGGTTTCCTGGAGAGCACGATCAAGCGGGTCATGGAGGTAAGGGACATGGGTTTTCCGGAGGCCATGATCAGGGCGCTCGTGGAGGCAACGGATCCGACCTTGTGGAGGGCACGATCAAGGCATTCGGAGAAGCAGCGAACCAGGTCTGCTTGGAGGATTGATGGAAGTCCGACCCAGGCAGTTGGAGCCCTATGCCAATTGGACGCCGCAGAACGACCCCTACGGCAGGAATGGAGGCGGAACACCGGGCCCTGGAGCGGTGAATCCGTTCTGGAGTCCTGAGGTGCAGCAACGAGTGGCCCTTGGTCGGGTGCCGCCTGGAGGTGCTTCATCGCAGGAGCGACGGGAACCTGGCTCTGGAGGAGATCGGGAAGTGGAAGACCTACGGAAAAGGGTTCTTCGAGAAGCGGAGGAGACCTTCGAGCGGGAGGTCATGAGGCTGCAAGCAGCAAGGGCGGGAGACGACGTTTCCTACAAGACGGCGTCGGACGGAGGAGCAACTGGTGGTCCGGTACCACCGCCTCACCCTGAAGCTGTGAGGAACTTTGGCCATGGATGGGCCACTGAGGATCGACCGCCTCCACCGCCGCCTCCACCGCCTCCGAGACCGATTGAAGGTGAGGAATTTGGAGCTTCCTAGTCTACCCCCACCTGGAGGTGAGGGGTCGTCGCTGCAATTTGGAGACTGGGTGACGGTCATCACCCCGCTGATGTCAGACATTGCGGGATCGGCCAGGCTGTGGTGGGAGCAGGTCCTGCAGAAGGCGGAGCTTACCTACGCGGAGTGGCTTACGGCGACACCGTTGGAGAAGCTCCGGTTGAAGCCCACGCTGGGGGATGTTGAGGCACACAATCACCGGGTTGAGCAAAGGGGATTGTCGATGCTACTGGCGGCCTTGCCGGACCCCATCAGGAGGGAGATCATCTCTGCCCGGATGATGTCCGCGACGGAGATCATGTTCCGGCTTCACCAGGTGTATCAACCTGGAGGCACCTCGGAGAGGGGCAACCTGTTGAAGCACCTCACCGACCCGAAGGTGGGGGCTAACCTGAGTGATGCTCTGCAGACCTTGAGACTGTGGAGGAGATGGTTGGCAAGAGCGGAGGAGTTGGATGTGGCGCTTCCGGACGGGCTGGTGCTGATCACGGTCTTGGGAAAGATCGCAGAGGTGGTCGGCAAGACCGGGGCTCAGGCTTCATTTAGAATCTCCTCGGTTCGGCAGGAGCTGCAGATTGATATTCGGCCTCAGATCGGGAAGATCAAGCAGTTCGCGGAGTACCTGCAGGCTGAAGCAGAAGAGCTCTCGCTGACGACGGCGATTAAGGCGGCATCGACTCCGGGAGCAACGGGAACGGGCACGGCGACCTCTAGCCTGAAGGCGTTGGCGGCAGCAGGAGCTACGGATGCGACTCCGGAGGTGACGGACAACAGGAGAAAGCCCCAAGGCCCTGCTTGTAGGTTTTGGGGAACAGATGGAGGATGCAAGAAGGGGAGCAGCTGCACCTATGCACATTCGTGGGAAGGCCTGGAGAAAACCAACAGATGCTTTGCGTGTTCCGGGATGGGCCACTCAAAGAGGGATTGCCCGGTCAAGAAATCCACGACTGTGAGCCCTTGGAAGCAGCCGGCTCCAAAGGTGTCCAAGGTCAAGAAGCCAGGAGATGAGAAGGTGCCGACAGAAGGTCAGGCAGCTGGCGGCGAAGGGGCCCGCCTTAGTGGCTCACCGGGCTCCGCGGAGGAGGCGTCCCGGGAGGCTACGGGGTGGAACCCTGGTGCCGCTTCATCGGCTCCGAGATCAACAGGAGAGCAGGCCAGACCGCCCCCTGGAGGGTCGGAAGAAGCCTCAGGTTTGCTGACAGAAGTGGCAGGCCTGCTGAAGTCTTTGAGGTCTATCCGGGCGCTGCAGATCAAGTATGCTGCGGCCGGGAAGGAAGCAGGAAGGAGTGAAGAAAAGGAGCAGGTGGCGTTGTTGGACGGCGGAGCCACCCACGCGCTACGACAAGCTCGACGAAACGAGAGGGACAATCTCACAGCGGTGGAGGTGGAACTGGCCTGTGGAAGTACGGAACGTCTGCCATTTTGACGCTGGAGCCGGTGGAGCCCATCATACCGCTGAGGATGTTGGTAGACGCTGGATTTGTGGTGAGGTGGAATGCCAAGGGGTGCAGTATTGAGCACCCCGGCCACGGAAAGCGTCCGGTCATGCGAAGGTCAGAGGCGATGAAGCTGATGGACTTCTTGGATGCCCCGGAGAAGGCGGCTACAGGAACGATGGATGAGGAGCGGTGGCAGCGATGGTTTCCGAGCCTCCCGGATGAGGTCCTGAAGCTCATGGGCCGGGTGGAAGGAGAAGCAGAGGTTGCTGCACGATGCCCCTTCAATCGGAGATTGAGGAGGAAGTGGGAAACGAGCAAGGGCGTCGTGGTGCATCTTTTCGCTGGCCGTGATGCCAAGGAATGGCGGAAGGAGGATTGGGGCGGCTATAGGAGGACGTCAGGCAGAATCTCCATGACGGTGCGTTGTGGGGATACCTTTGGAGCCTGGCGGAGAAGGGGCTGATCAAGGCAGTGGTGGGGGGACCACCGTGCCGAACTGTGTCAAGATTGAGGCATCACCAACCTGGACCCCCACCTCTGAGAGGAAGGGACGTTTGCAGGTTTGGCCTTCCTGGCCTTTCGGAGGAGGACAGAAAGAAGGTTAATGGGGACACGGCGTTGTTCTTCAAGCAGATGGGCCTGTGGCTTCGGGCGCAGGAATGCTCCGAGGAGAAGAAGGGACCTGTGGGCTTCTTGCTGGAGTCCCCCATGGACCCAATGGAGTATGATCCCAGAGCGGTGGAGATGGATGTACCTTCTTTTTGGAACTTCCAGGAGGTTCAGGACTTTTGCCAGGAGAACATGATGTACCTGGTGAGCTTTGATCAAGGAGCGGCGGGCCATCCAAGGAGAAAACCCACCACGCTGGCAACCAACTTGCCAGGCATGGGGGAGCTCCACGGAATGAAGGGCCAAGGTCATCAAGAGATGGAGGGCGACCTCCGCAAGAGGCTGGTCCAGACGAAAACCTGGGCGAAATGGGCGCCTGGGCTGGTGGCGGCCATCAAGATGTCCCTCAAGGAGCTGGTCAACAGGCTCGAAGAGCGGAAGGAAGAGAAAGCCATGGAGGCAGGGGAGCTCAAGAAGATGACCCT